CGATTGCGAGGAGCACCGGTTGAAGGCTGGAAAGTGCAGCTCCTTTGTCGGGAAGTCGACCGGCTGTTCGGTGGTCGGATGTACCGCAGTACGAACTTTCCGCGATTCACCATCTGCTGCAGCCAGGCTTAGCGTCGCTCCATGTGCTTGAGGTTGCCCTTCAGCCCCAAGCCTTCAGCGACCGTCATGGCCGAATGGTTATCCACAAGAAGGACAGTCTGCGTCCCAGCGTTGAGCAGCTGGAGCTCTGCAGTCGACGAGCCTCCTTGCCGGCTTCCGTGACCATGACGTACTCCGGCTTGGTCGACGAGAGCGTCGCGCACTTGATGCGCTGGAGACCGCGACCCTTCCGAACACGAACACGTAGCCACCCGTGCTCGTATGATTCTGCTTGTCGCCGGCTTCATCGGCGTCCATATAGCCAAATGATTCTGGTCCACCGCCGAACTCTAGGGTGGTGTTACGGGCGTCAGCGAGGTAGGTGAGGCAGCGGTCGACCTCGCGCCAATGCTGGTCGCTCCTTACCATCAGGCCGCTCCCTAGCTTGTTGCACGCGAAGCAATGTCCGGCCTCGTCATCGTCGCCGCGGACTGCAGCGAGCCGACCTTCTGTCTATACTTCTCCTCCTCGCGCACGTGAGCATCAGCGACGTTGAAAGTCAGCTCGGCGTAGGCGTCGACGGAGATCGGCGTCTTCAGGATCCGACCGCCCTGCTCTTCAGGATCCGACCGCCCTGCGCCTTGATGAAGCGCCGACGCAGCTTGTCGACGTAAGTCTGCTGGTGGAGCCACAGCTTCCTCGCCGGCCTGTCGCGCACGATCTCCAGCCTGAGGTACTTCTCCACCGGCAAAATCTCGCTCAACTCAAAGATCGCTTCCAGCAGCTCCTTCAGCATCGCACGGCTGCTGTTGGCGGTGAGCAGGTCGGCGACGTAGACCAGCACCCAGCAGGTTACTCCGCCGTCACCGACCTTGAATTACAATGCCTGGTCGACCTGGCTCTTCTTCCAGTCGACGCCGGTCAGCACGTCGTCGAGCGCCTTATACCACAGCAGTGACGAGTGCTTCAGCCAGTACAAACTCTTCAGGAACTTGCACACCCGACCGGTCCCATCGTTGTAGTAGTCCGGCTGGTACATGTACAGCACCTTGTCGAGCTTGCTCTGCAGGAAGGCGCTCTTCATGTCGAGCTGCATCAGGTGGAAATCGAGGACGGCGACGATGCTGAGGAAGATCCTCAACGTGACGTAGCTCCCAACTGGCGCGTACGTCTCGTCGTAGTCGGCGCCATACACCTGCGTGAAGCACTTCACGACCAATCTTGCCTTCTTGCGGGTGGCCGTATCATCGATGTGGTACTTCGTGATCAGCACCCACCGGTTCTTCATGATGATCACACCGCGCGGGCATTTGACCAGCTCCCACGTCCCATGCCGATGAGGCTATGGATCTCCTCGTGCATGGCGGCTTTCACCGCCTTGCCCTTCCAGCTCGCCAACGCCTCCTTCACCATCATCGTCGGGGTCGGCGTGCACGTCGCGGTTGAGTTCGGGCAGGTCGATCTCGGTCTCAGCGTCATTGAGCAGCGTGGTGAAGTGCTGGTGGCAGACAGACGTGAAAGCCCAACCGCTCCGGCGGCTTCCGACTTCGGCTTGAGCGTCGCAGGTCCGGCTTCTCGACCGGAACCTCCACCACGTCGCTGTCGGTAGACTCCTCTCCTGCCGACAACTCCCCTTTATCGTCGTCACTCTTCTTAGCGACCGGCTTCATCCACACATACTGAGTGTGGCGGTCCTTCACCAGGAGAAAATACAGGCTGTTATCCTTGGTAGCCACCTGGAATGGCCCGCACAAGTCAATGTGCAGGATAGCCAGGGCCTCCTTGGCGTCCAAGCCTTTGTCGGAGGAGGTGTGCCGCGCCAGCTTCTCGCCGACGCACGAGACACACGGCAAGTCAGTCCCAGTTGACGGCTTGATGTCAAGGCCGTTGGCGACTTCATGCTTCGCCGAACTCTTGATCTTGTCGACGCTGACATGAGCGAGCCTCGCGTGCCACCTGTCGGGCGTCGACTTCGTCGCTGAAGCGATCGTCCGCAGAGCCACCACTTCGGTCGACTTCGACAACGGCTCCGTCGAGCAGGGGTGAAGGTGGGTACAGAGGACGCGACCAGTGTAGCGTGCTCGACCGAGTACCTCGCCTGGACTCGACACGAGCAGCATCTTGTCGCCGTTGTCTCGCAGCTTCACACCGCTCTCCTACAGCTGGCCGGCTGATAGCAGGTTCGCCTGCACGCCGAGAATAACGACCTGCTTCCCAGCCTCCCCTTGCATAACGAAGGTGCCACGACCCTCGACGATCTGCAGAACCCCGTTGAATCCGCGCACACGCTTCACGTCGCCGCTCGGTGCCATGTCGATGAAAACCTCCTTCATCCCCATCAGGTAGTGTGAGCAACCGCTGTCGAGCAGTACCACCATCGGATTTGCTTGCACTGCAGCCGTGACCACCTTGAAGTCTTCCCCGTCTTTCGGCGCAAGCGAAAGGGTTTTTCGTCGCCTCAGCCCTTGCCGCGGAAGGAGTCGACGTCCTTCGTCGACGACGTCTGCTTCTCCTTGCGCGGCTTCTCCTCCCGACTTCGTCGACCATTGGCTGACCTCCCGTGGCCTCCCCTGCGGTCGTCGTCTTCAGAATCATGGCAGTCGGGACTTTCGAAGGAGAGGTGGTCGGGGTCGCCGCAGATCCAGCACTCCCGCTGTCGACCACCGCCGTTTCGATTGCTGTCCCGAGCCAACTTCTTCTCGTCGACGTCCTTCGTCAACCGCCCACCTCCGCTACCACCTCCGCACGGCTTCCTGCGCTGCCCGTGCTGACGACTCTGCTTTGTTGGGGCAACGTAGTTCGCCTGTGGAAGGAGCTCCGTGGATCATTCTGCCTCCTGCATTGCCTCATCCTTGATCGTATGGCTCGTCAGCGTGTCCTCTTCGAGCGATTCTCGCATGGCGGGCATCACCAACATCCGGTGCATGAAGTTGTAGCCGCTCGGGAGACCCTTGACGACGAGCGTGATGTACGACGCCGTTGGATAGTCGACGCCCGCATCCGCATCTCTGCGAGGATCTATCAAGAACAGTTGCAGTAGTCCGTCGCCGACTCCTACTTGCCCATCGGGAGGCGAGTCAATGTTGGTGTAAGGGCCTACTAAACTCAAGCTGATAAGATGCCATTCAAACTTAAACCTCTCCCCAAGGTCACCTCCAAGGGTCCTTGGGTGCCTAGTACAAGACCAGTCCCTACAGGTCCGAGTTTGTAGAGAGAGGAATAAGAATAACACAATCAAATAGCAAGTGTACCTGGAACGTCGCGCAACGTATCGTGCAGACCGTCGATCGGTTTAAGCTGAGAAATTTCTATATCCAAGCTCGCTCCAAATAAGCCAAGTTGCCTCACGGAAAGTTCTGCCATTGCAGAGTTACGGCTCGGACAGCGTTTGCCCAACGTTGGAGTGGTAGCGTACTAGCGTTGACTTCGGAAGCATTCCGCCGTCGAACCGCGTGAATACGAATTTCCAGTGAGAAGGAATTCGCCTGAATCATTATATCCAGAGTACAAACAGAGAAAGAATAAATAGCTAGAGCTAGCAGGGACCTTGGGAATCAACCTGGGAACAACGAGGGATGATCCCAAATATTTCCAAACAACAGAGCTATCTTGGCTGGACAAAACAGCAGGTAGTAGGTTGGTAAACAACGTCTGGTCCTGTTTTTCCAACGTGGGAAATTAACAACCAAGTTCAGGTCCAGAAAACAGAACCTGTTTTGTCCTTGCTCAACCAGCTAAATTCTGGTTCTGCTAGTTTCCCCTGGCCCTGTAGCAAACAGATACAAACAAACAACATCCTACCTTCACCTAATTGTACCTCTACATTGCCTGCCTTGCTACAACGTATTTAGCCAAATAAAACAGTCTAATTTTGAGTTGAATATAACTGAATCTGCGCATTGAAGTCAACTGAACTGCAAAACTTCCATCTTGGGTTCCTTTGCGAGCTCGTCCTATTTGCTTGCACTGTTCATAGCGCGTATAATGTTCTTCCGAAGCGCACATTGTGCGAGTACCTGCAAATGCTTTAAACAAAAATTGCAAAAGCAAACAAAAAACTCGAACATTCCATTCACATGCAAATGCGTTCACGCACGCATACTTGTTGTACAAACAGACGGTAGGATGTCGTGCAAAGTGAATTTGCACCCAACACACTTCCCCTCAGTCTGCCAGCTGCATCCCCATCATTCCATGCTAGTTCATGCTGATTCTACATATGCGCACACAACGCCAAGGAGGCTTATCCGCAATCCTCTTGGTGAGAAAGTCTGCTGGCTGCTGGTGAATCTTGATATAGATCAGGCTTACCTCGTTGCGCAGCTAGTGGTAGTTGATACGCATATGCTTGTTCAGCCCGTGAAGCACAACGTTCTTGGCCATCCCAAGAGCCCCCTTGCTATCACAAAAGAGTGGTGTAGCAACTTTTTGCTCCTGGCCAATCTCCTCTAACAGCCTCCTCAGCCAAAATACCTCCTTCACCCCATGGAACATCACCATGTACTCTGATTCCACGGAGGAGAGTGCTGTCTCCGTCTGCTTCTTGGACCTCCAACTAACATGTCTTCCCCCAAGCCTCTAACCCGTCTCTTTCAGCACCTCAACCTCTTTCTGCTTCACCTGTGCAGATGCGGAGTATTAAACTCCAATCCTCGGGTATGAGTTCAGGTACTTCACCACACGTTCAGATGCATCTACCTACCTCAGATGGATTCTGCACCACCCTAGCCAGCTGCCCAACCGAGAAGGAAATGTCGGGCCTCGTGTGAACTGCTGCATACAAGAGGCTGCTCACCAAGGACAGAAAATGCTGCTGCTCCTCGGTTTCAACCCCTTCATCCTCAGCAGCCTTTACAAGCTTGAACTCAGCTGGCAGGGGAGTTGCAACCTTGCGCTCATTCTCATTGCGCGGTCAAGACAGCAGCCGCGGGGAGGGACACGACGCGGAGGGATTCAGGCGGCAGGACCGAGGGACTCCGGACGTAGGCGCTCGCTATGCAGAGGCGTCCGGACCTCACGGTGGAAGAAGGGCAGAGCGGTCGCGCACGCCGGAAGGGGGTCAGCGTCATGGCGCAGGGCGCGTGGGTGAGTTCCGCCTGCATGACAGGCGCCAGGACCAGAGTGGCTGGGGCGGCGGCGGCAGGCGCTCGCCGGAACGTTGCTAGGCGCGCAGTGACGAACGGCGGGATGAGCCTCGCTTATCCAGGTCACAAGGGCGCCAGGAAGGGAGGCACGGGGCGAAGCATGGGTCACAGGAGCAGCGCGGCCAGCAGCTGGGGGAGCGCAGCAGCGCGATGCGATCGCCGGGCCGGCCGAGGCGGAGAGAAAAGTGGGACGACAGCGGGTCTCGCTCGCCCGATTGGCGCCACGCGCGGAGAGAGGCTTACGGAGGGGAAAGGCTCTCACCAGAGCGCCGCCAGCAGCAGAGCCGAAGGGGGGACGCCTGGTCGCCGTCGCCAGAAGGGCGGCCGTGGCGCGAGGCGAGCAGATGGGAGGAGCGGGAGGTGCGCAGGCCGCCGCCGCCGCCACAGTGGGGACGGGCGGAAGGGTGGGGAGGATCGAGGGAGAGGCGGTACGAGTCAGGCGGAAGTCGCCAAGAGGGCAGAACGGAGGGCGGAACGCTGGCGCAAGGGGCAGAGCGGGCGCGGGAGGCCAGAGAGGGTATGCAGAGGGCACGGGCGAGGGGAACAGAGAGGAGTCGGCCGAAAGGGGCCAGCGAATCATGGGGAGAGAGGCGAGGGGGTAGCAACGGCACCCCGCCGGTAGAGGTGACCGCCAGATTCTCAGGTGACCAGCGTGTAGGGCCGACCCTCAAGAACTATCTCATGCAGGTGGGGAATGTTCGGTACTGCTGCGACTGGCACCAGATGGACCCAGTGGACTTCTTCTTGAGTCTGCCGAACACGGTGGAGGGAGAGGCCGTGACGCTCTACCGCATGAGGATGGAGGAACTGCTGTGGAGGGCGGGGAGGTATGGCGAGGACCCCACCGAGGCATTCTTGGAGCGGCTGCAGCGGCAATTCCCAGGTCATACGGCAGAGCGCATAAGGGAGTTCCAGGAATTCAGCAGGGGCCGGACTGAGTCGCTGCTGACCTACTACAACCGGCTGATCAATGTGGCGGAGGACGTGAGACGCATGGACAACAGTCTTCTCATCAGCAAGTTTCTGGGGGGCTTGGACAAGGCCTTAGGAGGGGGGCTGAGGATGAGGGTGTATGAGCTAGGAGCGGATGCAAGTCTGGAGGAGGTGTTCGCTCTGGCAGAGAGGGTGGAGCTCGCACAAAGGAAATTTGAGGCGTATCTCCCCAGGCCAGCAGAGAGGAGCAGGCGGCCAACGTGGGCGGCGGCAATGATACCAGGAGGAGGAGGGAGAACGGAGGGACGGGGGGAGACAGGGACGGACACCAGGACATGCCACAGGTGCGGACAACCAGGCCATCTGCGCAGGGATTGCAAGAACTGTGACAGGTGTGGGAAGCCAGGGCACAGGAAGCGGGAGTGCCCGGATGCAGCCAGGTGTGAAATCTGCAAGAGGCAGGGACATGAGGCGAAGGATTGCTACCAGAGGGAAGGGGGGAGTAGGAGGCATCCAGAGGAGCTGCAGCGGCAGATTAGCAGGTTGCAGGCACAGCTGAGGGCGACCGGGCTGAAGGGGGAGGCGGAGGCCGGGATGTACGCGGGAGACGGGGGAGGAGAGGAGGTGGAGCAGGATGTGCAGTGTGCTCTCATGGCGTGGAGAGGAAGGGAGGAGATGGGGCTGAGGAGTGGAGGCAAGGATGGCAGGCGGGAGCACGGAAGGAAGGAACAGGTGAAAGGAGAGAAGCCAGCCGAGCCAGCCCAGGAGCCAGCCCCCGCACGCCATCCCCAAGAGAGGCTGGCGTGCCAGACCTCGGTGCTGCTGCTGGAGAAGGGAGCCATGGAAGTGGAGGGGGTGAAGGTAAAGACAGCCATCATAGATACGGGTGCGCAGAGTGTGATGTTGGGCAAGGGGATGGCTGAGAGGCTGGGATTGCTGGCACCGGAGAGGCATGTGGCTAAGGGGATGCTGGTGATGACAGCGGAAGGAGGGGAGCCGAAGTGGATGCCATGCACACGGACGCCCATAGAAGTGACACTGCTGCCGGGGGGGGGAACACGAAACCAAGATCCGCATGAAGTGTGGGATTTCCGAGTCGAAGGACTTTGACGTGCTGGTGGGCACCAAGTTGGTGTATGCGGTAGGGATGACCATATTCACATGGGCGGAGAAGGTAGAGTTTAGGACTAGATACTGGAAGAGGGAGGGGCCGCTGGGAGAGCTGCCAGTGCGGTTCGTGAAGGTGGAGCCGAAGAGAGCTTACCAGGCCGTGGGGGAACGGCTGCCGGGGGAGTAGGGAGGGCAGTCAGGGATGGGAGGAGCGCCCATAATGAAGGAGATGGACAAGCCACAGCAGCAAAGTGATTGGCAGCAGCCCATCCACCTGGTAGAGCTGTTTGGAGGGATAGGGGCAGGGCTGTCCGCAGTGATGAGGAATGGGATAGCAGTGAAGAGATGGACATATGTGGAGAAGGAACACGGGGTGAGGAGGATGGCGGAGCACCATGCCAGGAAGCTGCAAGCGGAATTCCCGGACCTGCTGAGTGAGGAAGTGATCAGCAAGGCGATGGGGGGGACAATCCACGATGTGAAGGACATAGGCGAGGCCGAGGTGGCGAGCTGGGGGCAGGTGGATCTGCTGGTAGCAGGGTGGGAATGCCAAGGGGTGTCTTGGGCAGGCAAGGGCAAGGGAGGGGAAGATCACAGGACAGGGTTGCTGGAGGATCTGTTCCGAATCATGGAGTGGCTGCAGGAGAGGCAGGGCAGGGTGGCATACTTACTGGAGAATCTGGACCTGGAAAGAGATAGCAGAGAGCCAATCCGACTGGTGAGGGACAGAATCAGGGGGCAGCTGGGAGAAGGGGTGAGCTGTGATGCGGCCAGAATGGGGTCTTATGCGTACAGGCTCAGAATGTACTGGCTGAATGTGGTCCTTGCCGCGCAGCTGCAAGCAGAGATAGAGGGGGTGAGGCGAGCAGCAGAGAGGAAGGTGCAGGACATCCTGGCACCAGGGCGGACCCCAGCACCGGTGAGTCGCAAGAGCTACAGCAGGCACGAGCAGTGCAACCAAGTGGGGCAGGAGAGGCGGGCTCTGCCCACGCTGGTGGCATATGTGGGGACAGCAGGGTACAAATGGGAAGCAGGGAAGCCTGGGCCAGGGATGGTGTATGACCACAAGAGATGGAGATGGGAGGAGCCCACGGCACTAGAGCGGGAGCTGGCTATGGGGTACGGAGAAGACGCAACAGCAGCACCTGGGGCAAGTGGAGCGGACAGGAGGAGGGCTCTGGGGAATGCAATGGATGGCCACGTGATGAGGTGGCTGATTCAGCGAATGTGGCGGGAGACGGCCGTGAGCTGGGGCAGGAGGAAGGGAAAGGAGGGATGAAGGCGGAGCCACGGGGAGCATGGAGCTGCCAGGCAAAGGAGGAGGAGAGCTGGGTGGTGGGGGAAGCGATGAGCAAGGGGGGAAGGGAGGCCATGCAGGGGCTGCTAGCGAGGCACCGGAAGTGTTTCGCTTTCACCATGCACGAACTGGGGAGGTGCAAGGTGAAGGAGATGGAGCTGAAGCTGAGCAGCACAGAACCAGTGTTCCAGCGCAGGAGGAAGATGCCGCCCGGGGATGAGGAGATCTGCAAGGAGAAGATCAAGGAGCTGCTGGAAGCGGGACTGATTAGGAGATCGGAGTCCGAATATGCCACACCAACAGTGGTGGCAGCCAGGCGAGACCTGACAGGGGAGGTGCTGAGCAGGAGGATGTGTGGAGACTACAGGGCACTCAACAAAATCACCATAGCAGACAGGTACCCGATGCCGATGGCGGAGGAGATCTTTGATAAACTAGCAGAGGGGGTGTTCTTCACTACGCTGGACCTGTGGCAGGGGTTCAACCAGATCAAGATCAGAGAGGAGGACATCAGAAAGACGGCCTTTCATGGGCCAGACGGGCTGTACAAGTGGTTGTACATGCCATTTGGACTGCGGTACGCATCAGCAGTGTTCCAGAGGGTCATGGACAGCGTGCTGCGGGGAGTGGAGTGCGCGGCCTGCTACATAGACGATGTGGTAATCTTCAGCACCACAGAGCAGCAGCACCTGCAGGATGTGGAGAAGACCCTGGCGGTGATTGAAGCAGCAGGACTCACCTGCCACCCGAAGAAGTGCAGATGGGGGGAACAGACAGTGCAGTACCTAGGGTATGAGGTGAAAGGGGGACAGATAGGGATCCAACAGGCCAAGGTGGAAGTGCTGGACAGACTGAGGGAGCCGAAGGACAAGTCAGGGCTGAGAGCAGTGCTGGGCTTCTTGAGCTACTACAGGCGGTTTGTGCCCAACTTCAGCAAGAGAGCGGCGGTGTTGAATGGGCTATTGCGAGAGGACAAGGCGTGGGAGTGGGGAGAAGCACAGAAGGGGGCACTGCAGGACCTGATGGCTGCAGTGAAGACCGCAACGGTACTCAAGCTGCCCGCCGCTGATCAGCCGTTCACGCTCTACACCGACTGGAGCAGCCAAGGGATGGGGGGAATTCTCTGCCAGGAGGTGGAAGGAGAGGAGAAGGTAGTGGCATATGCGAGCAGAAGCTGCAACTCGGCAGAGGCACAGTACAGCTCCTACATCGGAGAAGGGTTGGCGGCCGTATGGGCAGTAGGACATTTCAGGGTGTACCTGCAGGGGAGGGAATTCACCTTAGTGACAGACCACCAGCCCCTGACGTGGCTGATGACAACCCCGGGACTAACGGGCAGGAATGCAAGATGGGCGATGAAGCTGCAGGAGTATGACTTCAAGATTAGGCATAGGCCAGCAACATGTGGATGGCCTCTCTCGGAACCCGCCGCCGCTCGAGCCCACTGTGACCTTGACAATGCTGGCCAGATTAGTGGAACAGAACGGGGCCAAGGAGGGGAAGGGGCCAGCAGAGATTTGGGAGGACGAACCGGCCATGCGATGGGTGAAGGGAGAGACGGGAGAGGACGAAGCGCTGCCGGCACGAGTGAGGGCAAGGGGCCAGCATTACAGGTGGTACCAGCAGCAGTTGCAGGTGCAGACAGAGGACGGATGGAAGCTGGTGCCGGCCCCAAGCGAGTGAGAAGCAGTGATTAAGGAAGTCCACACCAAGCTAGGGCACTTTGGGCACGAGAGGACAGTGCAGCTGTTGAAGACAGGGTGGTGGTGGGAGGGGATGCGGAGGCAAGTAAAGGGGTGGGTGGAGGGCTGTGAGGCATGCCAAAGGAGCAGGGCAAACCTCACCCAAGCCAAGGCGGAGTTGCAGTCGCTGCCCATCCGAGGCCTCGGCTTCCGATGGTCCTTAGACCTGGCGGGGGAGCTGCCACTGAGCCGTGGGGGGAAGCAGTACATAGTGCCCATGGTCGAACATATGAGCAAGTGGCTGGAGGTGAGAGCAATCCCGAGCAAGAGCTCCAGACACGTGGCAGCAGCGTTCAAGGAACAAGTGTTGTGCAGGTTCGGGGCATGTGCAGAGGTCCTAACAGATCAAGGGACAGAGTTCCAGGGGGAGTTTAAGGGGCTGCTGGAGGAGACTGGGATCACCCACAGGCGCACTTCGCGGTACCACCCACAGAGCGATGGGCTGACTGAGCGACTGGTCCAGACCTTGAAGTGGGGACTGCGAGCGTACGGGGAAAG